GTGCGCGCGCGTGCGTACTGTATAAGTATGTTTGTATACCCACAGAACATTTCTGAGAAGGATGTGTAAGAGTACAGTGTTGCATTTGATAGGACCAAGCTCTGGGGATGGGGTGGAAAGGAGGCTTTTCCCACAGTGTTCTCTTTTGCACATTTTATTGTTGTTCTTTGTGTGTGTATTACCTGTGAAAAATGACAATAAAAAGAAGGTTCCCTTTAAGAGGCTTAGGGGGAAGGCAGGCATCCAAACAATTAGCGTTTTTATCACTGAGTCTCTGGCAGGGTGGGAAGAGAGTATGGAGAGATTGAATGTGCCTAGGGGTGAGTGGGTGGGGCAGAGTATGGGAGGTGCTTGGGAGTTTGGAATAATCAGGTGAGTGCTGGAATTTAGCTCAGTTGTAACTAGGGTGCCAAGAGGGAGAAGGGGCACTGTGAGCAGGCAGAGGCCAGAACAAAATCACCTTGTGCGCCAAGCTGAGGCGGTCAGAATTTTTATCCTAATAGGAAAGGGACAACTGTGAAAAAATTTTAGCAGGGAGTAATCGGTCCAGATTTGCCACTTAAAAAGGTGGCCTCTGGGACTGGCGGCGGCGGCTTGGGTGAGCAAAGGTGGATGGATGACCGGGCGCGAAAGCAGCCGAAATGAGGGGGGTCGTCAGTCAGACAGGACAGTGGGTCGGCGATGTGTGTGGAAAGCACGCACAAAGCCCACTCTGCTGTCTCATACCACCATCTTCTGCCCATTCAGGACCCCTGGCACCCCCAGCTGCTGGCAGGGGTTCCTCCCAACGTTCCTGCTGCCTCCTTGCCCCGGGCTTCAGCTCCTTGGCAAAGTGGGACACAAAAGAAAACAGGACGGAAAGCTTTCCCTGCCATTCCACTCCTAGGTCTCTTATTTATTCCACGCTCTCTGTTCGGGTCCTCTCATTATTTCTGAGCTGTACAGCCTGCTGCTTCCCTGGCTCGCTTCTCCCACCCCTGTGTGCAAAGTGTCAATCAAGCCATTGGATGTGCAGCTCAGCCTCACATCCTCAGAGTCTCTGCCCCAGGACAGGAGCGGCGACTGCTGACACAAACAAGCCACAAGGTGTAGAGCTGCTGGCTCTCTTTTTAATAGTCTCCCGATGCAGAATGGGTGTTAAAATGGAATTTGAGGGGATCGCTTCTCTCTGCCTGCCCCTGTCAGGACATTCACAAGGACCGGCAATCCTGAGAGAAGGAAGCCTTTAGAAGCCGATTTGCTTTTCATTTCAAGGTTGGGCCGTGGCCAGTGTCGGCTTTCTGAGGAGCTGTTTGAAATTCTTAACAAGCAGCAGAATGCTTGAGTCCAGGAATCCGGGGCAGGCTTGTGAAGTAGGAAGTGGGAAATGGAATTGTCATTTTATCTCTGAAGGGATATTATATTAAACGGAGGTGGGGGGTACAAAGTCACTTGGCAGCTTCCCTGGAGGACTGAACAATGAATGTGGGGGCAGCAGGAAGAACTGATATTAGAACAAAGAAAGAACTTCCCCAGGCCCTGGAGCCAGTGACCAGGGAGATTTGAAATGCCTGTTTCCAGGGGGGGATTTCTCCTTTTTACAAATTGTGAATGGAAGCACTATTTTTATAGAATGCATGAACTAATGAGCATTAAGCTCCATTACCTCACCGACTCTGCTTAGATCTTAGATCAGCACTCACAGAAGGCATGGCTGTGATCAGTGTGTGTCTATTTGTGGTCTGTGTGTCTCCCTCTGTATCATGTCATATTTGCATTTCTACAAGCAGAGTCCTCACTCCTGTCATTTGGAATAGCCACGCCGCATTGCATTGTGTCAATATATCAGAGTTTGCTCAGTGATTCCCTGTTGTTGGATTGTTTCCATTTTTTTAAATATTAGAAGAGCACAGGTATGTGTGTCTTCATACAAATGTTTTTTCCTCCCCTGGGGAAATAGTTCATCAAGTGGAATTTCTAGGTCAGAATATTTGAACTATTTTATTCTATTGTGCATGACCCCAGAACCTTCCACAAGATCCAGTCTGAATTGCCACCCGCAGCACAGACAACATAAGGCTGTATCATTTTTACTTTTGTTTATTTAATAGACATATAATAGTACTTTAAAGTTATTTAATTCCCATTTCTTTGGCTGCTGGGGAGACTGGGCACACTTCCACGGAAGGATTTATTGTCCACTTTTTCTCGCCTGTGAGCTGTTCATCTCTGCTGACATCTTATCACAAGAAATCTGAGAGCTGATCTTATATATTTCTATCAAACCCTTACATACTTGGTGTAGCATATTTTTCTTGGTTATAGCTTGCTATTATTTTACTGTAAGAGATCTGTCCAGTCGTGAGGCAGACGCTGCCCTGTCCTCTCTGGGGTGGGGTTGACAGAATGAGGTGAACTTTAGACTCTAGAAGGATTTCAATATCTTCTCTCTCTCTCTCTCTCTCTCTTTCTCTCTCTGAGGAAAAAAAAATCCAGTCAGATGGCAATCTCTCTCTGGGCTCCTATTTTCTTAGAAAAGGAAGGGCAGGGTTGCAGATAGCTGGTTGCTAAGGCTACTCTGGGGCTTCTCTGTGGCATAGAAATGTCATTGGGGCCTCTGTTGGCCCCTCTGCTGAGGTGGGTCAGCTCCCTGATGTCATATGGACTTCCTATATTCCTATATCACTATTCTCTCTCTCTCTCTCTCTCTCTCTCTCTCTCTCTCTCTCTCTCACACACCAGAAATGCAACAAAATATTGAAATCAGAATCCTCACTTCAAGCTCGGACTGTCAGCGTAGGGTTGCAGTTAAAGGAAAGGGCTCTGAAATTGGGGATGTGGTTCAGTTGAGAGATTGCTTGCCTAGCATGCATGAAGCCCTGGGTTTGATCCTCAGGACCACACGAAACCAGGTGTGGTGATGCAGGTCTGTAATCTCAACACTAGGGAGGTGGAGGCAGGAAAGCTAGAAGTTCAAGGCCATCCTCTGTTGCAAAGCCCGTTGGAGGCCAGCCTGGGATATATAAGACACTCTATCAAAAAAAGAAGGAAAAACACAGGCAGGTGTATCTCTGTGAGTTCAAGGCCAGCCTCGTCTACATAGTGAGTTCCAGGACAGATGGGGCTACAGGGAAACCCTGTTTCAAAAAGACAAAAAAAAGGAACGAAAAAAAGAAACCAAACCCAGACTTGAGTTTCAGAGCAAATAGACCTGGGTTCTTGTCTCAGCATATAGGAATACCAGGTGAGGGGCTTTGGGCATGTTATAATCTCTTTGGGACCTATCATCTTTGACCATTAAGTAGTATTTGAGTTATGACCATGTAAATAACCACTCTCAAAAGTTAGTGGCAGAGGGGGGTGGAGAGATGGTTCAGTGATTGAGAGCACTTGTTCTTGCAGAAGACCTGGGTTCGAATCCCAGTACCCACATGGCTACTAATGGCTATTCGTAACTTCAGTTTCAGGGGATGGGACACCTTCTGTCCTCTGCAGGAATTGCACGACATGGGTACACTTACACACATGCACATAAAATAAAAATAGTAATGAATTTTAAAAAGCTAGTGGTTGAAAACAACCATCTTATTTTACTTCACAGTTCTCAGGGTCAGGAATCCAGATGCAGCTTGGCTGAATGACTCTGGGCCATGTGGCACTGACTAGGTCACAAAGTGATACTTACCTGGGCTAGGCTGGAGGTCCAAAATGGTTTCCCTCGTAGCTCTCCACCTTGTCCCAGGGCCTCTCCCTCTGTGCCTTCCCACAGTGTGGTTGGATTTCTATGCCGTGGCTCAGGGTCCAAGACAAGCGGAAACCATCCATTTCTAGAGGCCTCAGCCAGAAAAAGTGTGGGTGCCACTGTGTCTTACTGGCCAAGCAATCATGGAGCCTATGTTGGGAAGACTGACAGAGGACTTGAGGCTATCTTTAATCTGCTAAAAATGAGGATAAAAATACACACAAAAAATGAGAATTTAATGAGATAATGTATTCAGAGGCAGATTTACCAGAAAGCTAATGAAACTTCAGCCATGGGGCTTCCTAATTGAGTGGTCTCTTCCAAGTCTTGCCATCTAATTTTGCACGCCTAATTCTTCCTTTCTTTCCCTTTTCTCTTTAGTGCTGAGGATTGAACCCAGGACCTCAACCATGCTAAACACATGTTCACCCCTGAGCTTTGCCTCCAGTCCCTTTTCCTTTTTTCTTAAAAAGGTCCCCCAAATTGTGAAAGAATCAGGATCTGCCAACCCTGGCTCTGTCCCCAGTGCCTCTAACAATGCTCATTTAGACTGCTGCCCGGCACAAGTTGGGGGGTTCTCTACACAAGGCTCTTGTATGTGCTAGGCTGGAACCCAATCCTTCTGTGCCTGAGGACAGGGTTCTTCTCCCTGTCCTTTCCAGTTTTTCAGGATCCTTTTTTCAACATGAAAGTAAAACACACTGAGAATAATTTCATAATCACAAAACTGCCCTCCCAATTGGCCCCTGTGTGGCTACCCCTGACCTTACCACCCACCAGGGAGGAGGGCCGAACCCTGGGCATCCTGCCAAGTTCTTAGCAGGCCCTGTAGATCTCTAAAGGAAATCAGGCTGTGGCTGCAGAGAGGAGAACCAGCAGGGGGAGGCAGCATTCCCAGTGCCCAGCTTGGTCTAGGAGACATTGAAATTCCAGGGCCGAAGTCCTGAGACAAAGATCATAATGAGACAGGAAGGTGGCATAGGAAGGAGCCCATTTGCATGACAATAATTGAGCCAAGAATAGCAAGCTGGAGGGATGCAAGGGTGAGACTGGCAGCTGAGCTGGGCTAAACCTCACAAATCAGTCTACCCAGCTTTGCTCTGCAGGGGAGGCAGAGGCTGAGCCCTGTGCCAGGCTCTGCAGGAGGGAGGGAGAAAGAGACAAGGACACGGTCTCAGGGGATTGTGGGAACTCTGGCTGGGCCGGACTTTGCCTTCTTCCCCCTCCTCCTCCAGCCTGGGCCAAAGTGCATTTGTTTGTCTTCTTTTTGAACTTTCAGGTTGTAGGGCTAAGTAGACATCATGGCTGCTCAGAAAAATCTCTGGGATGTGATTGTGATTGGGGCAGGCATTCAGGGCTGCTTCACGGCGTACCACCTGGCCAAACATGCGAGGAGGGTCCTCCTGCTGGAGCAGGTACTGTGTCCCTTATGCTTTTCTGTTGTACAGGACTATCTCTCCCTCTTTCCTCTAGGAAGGGCTTTCCAGAGCTGGCAGGCTGTGGTTGAAGGCAAAGGGCCTGACACACAAATCTGTGCAATCTGTAGCTTAGCTACTTCATGTGTTTCTTGACAATTCAAAGACAATTCTACCTTCCCTCAAATCCATGCAGGGTTTCTTGGTTTATTTCTTCTTATTGCCTCTCAGTTCTTGCCCTTTGATCAAGGAGCATCCCAGACTCTGGTCTCTTATTCTTGTTACCCCATGTCTTCTGTGCCCAAATGCTTAATCTAGCCCAGAAAAACTATCAGTTCTGCTCTGGGTAACCTTAAATATAGCTTTGCATAGAGGCAAGGGCTGATGTACCAGCTTCAGAGGCAGGGTTCTTCCCTGCATTTCCCAGCCTCTCCTTCCAGAACCTAGCAGAGGCTTCATCTTGTTCTGCTACTTTTGGGTAAATGCAGCCTCCTTGTTTGATGCACAGGAACTAAGACTCAGATTTTTTTTTCCTTAAAGGAAAGGTGGCTATATGCTGTGTATAGTGACCATTACCGATGAGGGTGGCACTGGAAACCTGCAGGGTCCCTCAAGGGGCAGGCCTGCCTAGCCTACCATGCAAAATTTTCTACCTCAGTGACTTCTCCCATCCCATTCTGCCTGCAGCTCTCCATACTGGTTATGGCTTACTCCTTGGAAATTAGCTGGAGTAGTTAGAAATTGTCTTCAGTTGTCTATCAGTATGCTCAAAATCCAAGGGATTCCTGTTTCATCTCCATAGGAAACTCCTTTTATTCCCTCCCTAAATCCTAAAGTAGTTCCCTTATTCTGAGGAATCTGACACTATGGCAAAATGGCATCCTTTTCCTTGTCTTAAAATGAAGGGGCTAGATTAGCATAGTCTGGAAGTTTCTTCCTAATTCTGCTTCTCTGTGAGTCTAAGTGGGGTCAGAGTGCAACAGAATGATTAAAAATTTACTAACAAGGGGACTTGTGGATACAAGGGATACTTGTGAAATGGAACCCTGTTTGTGCTACTGAGAAACTCCTATCCAATTGCTTGTCAGTCAGTTGACCAAAAAGAGAGACATTGGAAAAACTGTATGGAAATACTAGAAAATAGCAGGGCCTGGTGGTGCAAGCCTGTAATTCCAGCTACTCAGGAAACTGAGGCAGGAGGATTGCAAGTTTAAGGCCTGCCTGGGCTACATAGTAAGAGACCCTGTCTTAAAAAATCCAAACCCAGGAGACTGAAAAGTTGGCTCAGCAGTTAAGAGCACTGGCTGCTCTTGCAGAGGACCTGGATTTGATTCTCAACACTCACATGATGGCTAACAACCATCCGCAACTCCAATTCCAGAGGAATCCGATGCCTTCTGACCTCCTCGGGCATTGTGTCACAGGCACACTTTCATATACATAGGCAATACACTCAAATACATAAAAAATAAAAATAATAGCCAGGTGTGGTAGTGCATGCTTTTAGTCCCAGCACTTGGGAGGCAGAGGCAGGTGGATCTCTGTGAGTTCAAGGCCAGCCTAGTCTACATAGTGAGTTCAGGTCAGCTGGGACTACAGGAAAACCCTGTCTCAAAAAGACAAAAAATAAATAAATAAAATAAATTAAAAATAATAAAATATTTTTAAAAACCCAAACCAAAACGACAACAGCAAAAGTAAAAAGAGGGCTAGGGATATAGCTTAGTGGCAGAGCACTTGCCTAGTGTGTGCAAGGTCCAAATTTCAGTCTCCAGTACCAGAAAAAGGAAATATTTGAAGGTTGATAGCACAGGATGAGATAGCTCCTGAGGAGGAGAGGAGGCAGAATAACATATAACTGTTCCTCTTATCTCTCTTTTCCCTTCCTTCTAGTTCTTTCTTCCACACACCCGAGGAAGCTCACATGGACAGAGCCGCATAATCCGAAAGGCATACCCCGAGGACTTCTACATGAAGATGATGGATGAATGCTATCAGTTGTGGGCCCAGTTGGAGCACGAGGCTGGAAACCAGTTACACAGGTGGGCAGGGGAGGGAGTCCTTGAATCAATGGGCTTCACTCCTCCAGGTGCTTGAATATGTGATGCAACAGGGTGTGAACTTGAAATGCAACAGGAGGGAGGTGCCAGTCTCACAGAAGTCTGTTTGCTCTCATCCTTTCTCTGCAGACCTTGCTGGCCTCTGCTAGGCTCTGAGTTCCAGGCCTGGGTTAGACTCAGTGTTCAAGGCTAGCAGAGGTTGTGTTTTTGAAAACTGGTCAGATAGTCAGAGAAGGGTAGGCTGCATGGAGCCTTCTTTTAGGGCCTGGGTGGGCATAGAGGAGGCAGCTGCCTTTTTGGTTCTTTATATCCTTACTTTTTACACTGGATCCTCACCCCCATAATGGCCCCATAAATCCATGTTATTAATACACTTTCCCCTGGGAACAAAATGGGGGTGTTCCACAGCTTGCCAGGACGTGCCCCTGAAGCTGTTGCCCTGTGGTTTACTCCAAACCTTAGGGCTTCTCCATCACTGATCCTTCAGACACGCCTGGGGAAGGAAGTAGGAACCACCTCTTGTCTCCCCTCTTACCCCTCTGAGCTCTTCCTTTACATAACCCTGGCTCTACCCTACAAAGTGGTAGTTATTTTAATGGCTGTGAACCAAGAGGTTACTGTTCTGTTGCAAAAACACCATTAACTTAAGAACAAAGTGAAATCCATTATGCAAATATAGCCAGGTCAGCTAATTAAGGATTTATTCACAGACAGCTAATGTACCCAGCACCCAAATAAAGGAGTATGTCTTACTGAAGGGTGGCCTGGCAAAGGGACCCTCCTCTGACAGCTGGCTGTGAATACTGTTGAGTGTCTTGAGCTAGGAGAAGGTCTGGGGCCTTGAAGGGCACAAGTCTTTCTTGCAGTCAGTGAGGGATGAGGCAATCACAAGATGCCTGCAATCATTCAGAGAGGAGACAAGTGTGGAGTCACAGAGTTGGGTTTGACTTCCAGCTCTACCTCCTACCAACTTTGTGAGATGGTGAAAGTTTCTTCACTTCTCTATACCACTTTTTCTCATAAAGCTTTGTGCAGCTTAAATGAGACTCTTAGAAGCACTTGGCATAGTACCTGGCACTTTCCAATGAGTGGAGGTCTCTCCCCGTTGTTCTGGTCAGCTGTCTCCTGGGTCCTTTGGGCAGTGGCGAGAGAAAGCCAAGAGAAAACGAAGGGATGCAATGGGGGCTGGGGATAATGTTCACTTGGTAGAGTGCTCACCTAGCAAGCTTGAGGCTCTGGATTTGATCTCCAGCATCTCATGAAACTGTTATGTGGTACCTAGCACTCAGGAGGTGGAGGCAGGAGAATCAGAAGTTCAAGGTCATCCATGGCTATACAGTGAGGTTGAGGCCAGTCTGGTCTACATGAGACTGTCCTGCCATGGGTGCCCCAGGAAAGACTACAGAGAGGGGAGAGGAACCCTTGGAGAGTCTCATAATCTTGCCAACCTCCCCTTTGGCAGGAGTTCAGGAATTTGGAAGGACTTTGGAACCAGTCAGCCTGGCTCAAAAGCTCAGCTCTTAGGTTCTTAGCAGTATAGTTTGGGAACAAGCTGCTTCAGCCCTGTGAGGTTCAGTTTTCTCTCCTGCAAAGTGGGAGCAATAAGGTCTGTTTCATGGAGTTGTTATGAGGATAAACATGGAGATTAAAAACAGAACCTGAAGATGGTGGTACATGCCTGTAGTCCCAGCACTTGGGAGGCAGAGGCAGGCGGATCTCTGTGAGTTTCAGGCCAGCTTGTCTACATAGTGAGTTCCAAGTCAGCTGGGACTACAGGAAGACCCTGTATCAAAAAGACCAAAAACAACAACAACAACAAAACAAAAAAACCAGAACCTAAGTCATCATCAACTTCACCATCTATTTAGCACTCACAGAAAAAGAAAAACAAAAATCAAAAAGCCTCAGGGCTGCCATAAGTACTTTATAGAAGTTGAACATCCCCAATTTGAAAGTCTGAAATCCCAAATACTCTAAAATCTGAAACTTTTGAAACTTTTTGAGTGCTAATAGAAAATTTCACAGCTTATCTCATATGACTAGTCATAACCCAATGTAAGTACATGAAAATATTGTGTGAGATTGCCTTTAGGCGATGTGTACAGGGTGTATATGAGACATTATGAAGTCTGGGTTAAGATTTGGGTTCCATTTCCAAGATATTTCATTAGTTATGTCCAAATATTCCAAAATTGGAAGAAATCAGAAAGACTCTGTCTTAAGCACTTCGGGAAGCACTCTGTATATACAACTCATTTAATTCTTCCCACTTTAAGCAAGTGAAAGAGAAGCTACTGAGTGGTCAGGGTGTCTCTTTCTTTCAAATTTTATTTTTATTTTATGTATATGTTTTGCCTGCATGTATGTAAGTGCACCCATGTCGTACAATGCCCGTGGAGATCAGAAGAGAGTATTGGATTCCCTAGAACTGGAGTTACCAAAGGTTGTTAGCTGTCATGTGGGTGTTAGGAACCTAACCCAGGTCTTCTGCAAGAGCAATCAGTGCTCTTAACCACTGAGCTATCTCTCCAGCCTCTCCCTCCCTTTTAAAAAATTTTTATTTTTTATTTATTTATTTATTTTTGGTATTTTTTTGTGATAGGGTCTCCCTGTAGTCCCAGCTGGCCTGAATTCACTATGTAGACCAGGCTGGCCTTGAACTCAGAGAGATCCATCTGCCTCTGCCTCCCAAGTGCTGGGATCAAAGCATGTGCCACCATGCCCAGCTTTTTTTTTTTTTTTTTTTTAAATACAAGGTCTCTTTGTTGGTTCCCATGCTGGCCTCGAACCCCTTACACTGCATTGATCCTTGGTCTATAGGATCCTTGGTCTACAGGTGACTCCTGCCTCCATCCTCCCCGCCCCCCACCAGTATAGTAGTCCTAATTGCTCACTCTAAATCACAGAATTAAGATACTCTTAGTTTGGAACAAGGGTCAGCAAACTTTTCTTGTAAGTGTGCCACAAAGCAAGTAATTTAGGCTTTGCTGGCCATCTGGTCTCTCTTGCAAATATTCAAGTCTGCTATTGTAGTGTGAAAGCAGCCGAAGATGTAAATAAATGAACCTGGATGTGTTCCAATAAAACTTTATTTCTGGACACTGAAATTTGAATTTCATATTTTCTTGTGTCTTTATTTTACTTTACTTTTTAGACAGGATTTTACTTTGGAGTTGGCCTTGTACTCACGGTGTAGTCCAGGCTGACCTCAAACTTGAAATCCTCCTGCATTAGTTTCTCGAGTGCTTCTGGATATGAGTCACCACATACAGTGCTTTTTTTTTTCTTGAGACTGGAGGGTGGGGGGTCGGGGTAGAGGATCAGGGGGTATCTCACTGTGTAAGCTGGCTGGCCTGGTACTTCTTTGTAGACCAGGCAGGCCTCAAACTCACAGAGATCCTCCTGCCTCTGTTTCCTGAATGCTAGGATCAAAGGCATGCTCCATCAAGACCAGCCATTATTCTTATTTTGATTTCAAAATCAAGCATTTAAAAATGTAAAAACTGGTGCAGGAGAAATGGCTCAGTGGTTAAGAGCACTGGTTACTCTTGCAGAGGACCCAAGTTTGATTCCCAGCACCCACATGGTGGCTAACAACCATCCATAATTCCCATTCCATGGGATCTGATACCCTCTTCTAACTTCCAGGGGTTGCACAACACGAGTACACTTACATACATGCAGACAATACACTCATATACATAAAATAAAAAATAATAAATAAAAATGTAAAAACCAACCAGGTATGGTGGCACAGACTTTTAATCCTGGCACCTGGGAGGCAGAGGCAGGAGGATCTCTGTGAGGTCAAGGCCAGCCTGGTCTACGTAGTGAGATCCAGGTCTGCTGGAGCTATAGGGAGACCCTGTCTCAAAAAAAAAAAAAAAAAAAAAAAAAAAAGGTAAAAACCATCTTGGGTTAGAAAGAAATAGGCAGGAAGCCACATATGGTCCCTGGTCCTAATGTGCTGGCCCCTCGTTTAGAAGATGCCAGAAATGGCTTACGTTGCCCATTACTGTCTCCAAACAAATTTAGACCTAAGTCATCCCAGGTTGAAAAACTGCTACCGTACATTTTAAAGACAGAAGACCATCATCATAGCCCGTATGGAGAGACAATTCTGATGCCTCATAGCTCCAGTTATGAAAAATGAAGAGTAATGTACATGTGCTTTAAAAGCCCTTAAAGCACTATAGAGTGCTAGCTAAGTATTATTATTGTTGTTGCTATTATTCTACCATTAGCACATTCTTTCTTATGGCTACCCCAATTTACTTGTGCATGCTAAATTTTTTGGTTCTTTTTCCTAAGTAGGATGCAAAACAGATACTGCCCATCTGAACGGTATCTGAATATAGCTCTCTACCTTTGGGCTGAATGCCATTCAAATTGCTTCAGCTTTTACTCTTAATTTTGATTTTCTAAATTATTTCGTTCTCTTCGTGGGTCTTGCTTATGTAGATTCTTCTAGACGCACTGGCATAATACCATAATATCACTGATAGAAATGAGTGTCTTGAATGTCATTGGATGATGATTTTTTTTTTAATCACAAAAACCTTCTAGAGTTGGTAGTAAAGGTGGTCGACCAATTCTTTCCTTCTGTTCTGCTTCCTGTGACAGCATATGCTAAACATGGGTGGGCTTGGGATATTTGCATATATTCTGGGAACAGACAGTGACTTGTGTGTCAGATCACAAGGTTTGAGTCTTTTGTGATGTGTACAGCCAGGATGCTGGTACCAACAGCAAAGCTGGGCTCTGAGGCCCATCTCTTTCCTGCCCCGCCTTCTCCCTTTGAGTCCTACTATCCAGCTTCTGACCCGGGCTGCCCCTGCTTCACTGACAATATCAGACAAGATCACAGCCGTAGGCAGTACAGCTGCTGGCAGAACCTGGTGGCCCCCTCTGCAGCTGCTGCTTCCTGTGTCTGCGAAGTGTCTGGCTTGTCAGCCACATCCCCTCCCTGGAGCAGTCTTTGTTAACCAATTCCACCTCGGCCCACTAAGCGGAAGATGAAATACAGAGTTCCTCCAAAACCAAAAGACAGCAGCCATTACCAAGTCCCTTCCCCAAGGTGATGCTGAGAGCTGGCTTGCCTGGCACTTTGAACTGGAATGAACAGAAAGGCAGCCAGCATCTGTGATGAGAGATGGCAGATTCAGAGAAAGCTGTCTGCCCCTCCCAGCTCTCCTGGCTTCACCATTCCCCTTGCCCTACTCTGGTAACAGCTAGAGATCCGGTCACCAGTTCCTTATGTCACCTGGGCCACAGAGACACCAACAAGGCCCTTGGGAGGCATTTTCATGCCCTCTTCTCAGTGCTGGAGCAAGTGGGCTGGGAGGAAGGTAGTTGGTAACAAGAGGTGGGTGCTGCAAAATTTCTAGGGTTTGCTGGCAACGCTAAGGCCTTAGACCCTTCTTTCTAAGCTAGCCCTGACGGTTCATTTCTTCGCCTTCTTTTCTCCCCTCCCTGTAGATGCTCTTGTCCCTTTTCATCCTTTCCTTCCCAAAGTTTGTAGCTTGGGTCTGGGCAGAAAAAGAGGAGGGGGAATCCTGGAGCACAGGGGTGAGAAATTGATTCTGAATGAACAGTCTATGTATTGGGATCTAGGAAAAGCCATTAAGAAAATAAGCACTTAAATGATTTTCAATCTACCCATGGAAGTCATCTATCTTCATACTGGAGGGAAGAGGCCCGTTCTCTGATCCTGGTTTTGATTGACTGATTTCCAATTCTCGGAGTATTTCCCCATAGGAGCCTCTCACCTATCTCCCATAATGACAGGCCTTTGCATTTCCAGGCAATATTTTACATTTATTTCTGATTTGCTCATAATGGTCAAAAATCTTTCTCCAATCCAAGACATTTCTCCAACAGTGCATGGTTTCCCTCAGGCCAAATAGCTCAGCTGTGATCCACGGAAAATGAGAATTTCCCAAACGCATCTTCGGACTAGGGGAGGGGTCTAGCACCATGGATTCAGATGGAAAATTTCCCACTGTTAGATCAATATCTGGGCTAAGAAATAAATGCCACAGGGGCAGAGAGCTGGAGCAAAATGATTACAATCGGCACAATTACATTCACCGCAGAATCAGTTCACTGATTACTCCTAGGGTTGGGGAGCTCCCGCTTCATCCACCACAGGACAGCTTGGGAATTAAAACATCACTCAGCATTTCATAATTCGACAGATTTGCCTGTTGTCTTGGCATGAGTTCATTTTTTCCCATACAGTATGTCTCTGTAAAAGGAGTTCTGTTTCAAGGAAAAAAGGCAGGCAGGAAGGCAGGGTAGAAGGAGACTAAACAGCGTATGTGAGAGACCAAGGCTGCTGTGTTATAGGCAGGACTTAAGAGATGCTGATGTTATATCTGTTTAGGAGAGCTGTAAGCCAGATCTTCCTCAGAATCCTATCCTGCCAGGAACCCATCAGGTAAAAAGGGTTCAAGAATATACCAACACACACCTGGCCAGATGTGATGGGAAAGACCTCTAATCCCAGGACTTGGGAGGCTATGGCAGGAAGAGGCCAGCCTGAGCTACTAGTAAGTCCCTGTCTCAAACATAACAAAACAAAAGGAAACAAAGATCACACACCTGAGATTGGGGGTGTGGCTCCCTGGTAAAGTATTTGCCTACCATGTAAGAATCCCTGGATTCCATCCCCAGCACCATAAACAAACAAAACAACAAAACACTGAGTAACTTTTTTTTTTCTTCTTTTTCTTTCTGGTAGTGCTGCAGATGGAACCCAGGGACTCCTGTGTGCTAGGCAAATACTCTCTACCCATATACCCCCAGCCTTTTGGGTGGCTTCTTAATTATCTTGTTGACCAAGAAGTCGATAGGCAAATTTTCATGCCCTAAAAACTAATCTGGAGTTCTTTTGGGGAGGCCACAGAAAAGAGACTGCTTTCTGGCTGGGGATTCTGCAGTGTCTAACCTATGCTGAGCTTTGAAGAGGCAGAGCTGGCATCGCTATCTCACCATGAATGCCGGGTAGGCGAGGAGGGGGCCGTGGCAAATGGATTGGGCATGCTGCGAGGCTCTGTGTACTGACACCGGCCCCCAGGCCCACTGTGTCCCTACCCCCTCCCAGTCTTCTCTTTAATCCCCCCAACCAGATAATGTGGGATTTGGAAGCATGTAATATCCATGAGACTCCATTATAGGCTATTACGAGCTTTATACCGTACCTAGGGGATGCAGCAAACTGCTGCTGGGCTGTGGGGCTATTGAAACTCAGAGGGATCACAGGACCAGTCCCAAGGGCCACAGGCACCCTTCCACTATTTAGACAGCTTCCCCCAGAAGGGACTTCTGGTCTCTTGTGGCAGAGAGGCAGGAAGAATTAAAGAGAAACAGCTTCACTCCCTTACAGAGGAAGAAGGCTAGGGGGAGGCCTAGGGAGAAACAAAATCAGAGAATCTCAGTTTATTGCTAGATCCCCAGGGGACCGTGTACCAACCAGTGTTTGTGCTTATGTGTGAAAGTCCCATAGGCCTTTAGGTGGACTCTTCTGGAGCTCCCGGGTTTGGTATCCCTGACCCCTGCCCACTCACTGTGAGTGACAACCCTAGACATTGTGACTACAAACTGGCATATACCATTTCCACTTGCCCCATGGGGGGGCACCTTGGTATGGAATCAATGTTCTGGGTTTCAGGGGAGGAAGTGAGTCTCTAGTCAAGGTCATACCAAGGTGACACCAGGATTAGAAGCTGAGCCAGATCTCCCAGTTTAGGACCTTTTCCATAAAACAAGCAGCCTCTGAAAAGGAACTGAGAGACAGACAAATGAATAGGAAGGACAAAAAAAGCAGAAGGGAACAGTGGGGAGGGGTGGGAGACTAGCTCAGAGGGACGGGAGGAAGGGGAGGAAATCGCGTCTGACTGATTGGGCACGTGCCATTTTCAAGGTATGGAAGGTAAAGAGGACTTAGGATCTCTCTCTCTCTCTCTCTCTCTCTCTCTCTCTCTCTCTGAAACAAAGACTATGTAGCCCTGGTTGGCCTGGAAATCACTATGTAGTCCTGGTTGGCCTGGAACTCACTATGTAGACCAGGCTGGTCTCAAACTCACAGAGATCCACCTGTCTCTGCCTCCAGAGTACGGGGATTAAAGGCATGTGCCACCAGGCCTGGCAGGGATTTATGGTTTCTGCCATCAACAACAGGATGGAGGGACAAGCAAACCAACAGTGAGTGGCGAGGGGGGACTTGGGAATGGGCTGGAAACCAGCTGGAGAATGCCAGGACTCCTGGAGGGAATCTATACAGCTTCACCTGGGTTCTGACTCCTGCAGACACTGGATGCTTGCTGAAGAACAAGAACAGATGACCAGGGCCCTGACACTTCCCTTCACTCATGTGGCCTTTTCTTTTGAAATAGGCAGACTGGGGTCCTGTTGCTGGGAATGAAGGAGAATCCCAGATTAAAGACAATCCAGGCCACACTGTCCACGCAGGGGATAGACCATCAATGTCTTTCATCAGAGAAGTTAAAGCAACGTTTTCCAAATATTCAATTCACTAGAGGAGAAGTGGGGCTCTTAGACAAGATGGGAGGCATCCTCTATGCAGACAAGGCCCTCAGAGCCCTCCAGGTGAGGCTGTGCCTGGGACAATAATTTTTCTGGGTATCCTGAGCTCTAATCAGGCAGTCAGTCCTGAGCCCTCCTCAGGATGAAGGCTTTTGTCCTGTTGACTTTGGATCTGATCTTTAAGCAGAGATTTTTTTTTTTTTTTTTTTTTTTTTTTTTTTTTAGCATCAATACACCTGCTGGAAGGGAAGATCTAGCTTCGGCATTCTCTTGTCTGCCCTAGGTGAAGAGCTTTCATCTACCAACGTAGATCACTGATTCACGCAACTAACTCACCTTTCTTGGCCCTGCCTTTTTAGCACAAAATTTGCCAGCTAGGAGGCATCGTGAGTGATGGAGAGAAGGTGGTAGAGATAAGACCTGGCCTACCAGTCATGGTGAAAACCACCTCAAGGAGCTACCAAGCCAACAGCTTGGTCATTACAGCAGGTCCTTGGACCAATCGGATTCTCCGTCCCCTGGGAATTGAGTTACCTCTCCAGGTAGGGAGAGCTGGAGGTCTGAAAGTCTGGCCTTGGAGCCAGATGTACCCGACTTTGAGTCCTGAATCTGCCACTTTCTAATTGTCAACTTTGGACAAATTAGTTTACCTCATTGAGTCTCGGTTTTACCAATATGGGTAGGCTATTGGTGAATTAGATTATATGGTATATATGGGGTCCTCAGGAGACAGCCTGGCTTATAGTAAGTAATAAGTAAATGCAAGGTGTTATCAACTCTTAAAAAGATAGTGAAGTTAGGCCGGGTGTGGTGGTGCATGCCTGTAGTCCCAGCACTTGGGAGGCAGAGGCAGGCGGATCTCTGTGAGTTCAAGGCCAGTCTGGTCTACACAGTGAGTTCCAGGCCAGCTGGGGCTACAGGGAGACCCTGTCTCAAAAGACCAAAAAAAAAAAAAAGAAAGAAAGAAAGAAAAGATAGTGAAGTAGTAAAGTAGGGCTGGGGTAGCTATGGGAGAAAACTAAGACTGGGACAAGAGAGGAGAGGTTTGGAGATGTGCAGCATAATGTATGTTATAAGTAAATGACACAAGAATTAAGTAAAACAAGTTGGATGCATGAAAGAGCCGCACAACCCCACACAAAGTGACTTCCTGTCATTGTCTATCATGTACATGGCTTCCCCTTCATCTCCCCCTTCTTCCCTCCTCAAGACCCTTAGGATCAATGTGTGTTACTGGCGAGAGAAGGTTCCTGGGAGCTATAGCGTGTCACAGGCCTTCCCATGCTTCATAGGACTGGACCTGGCCCCCCACCACATCTACGGGCTGCCAGCAGGAGAGTACCCAGGGCTGATGAAGGTGAGTGGGAAGACTGAGAAGGCCACTACTAGGTATCCATATAGATCTGTGGCATGAGCTCTAACTGACCCCTCTAATACTCTCCTGGAGTCTGCTTCACTATTCGCCATTGGCCATTTGCAGTATAAGACCCCTAGCAGCTCCAAGGCCTAGGGTAGCTTTCCTTTACAAAGACAGGGTGGGTGTAGGAATGAACATGAGACAATGTCAGGTGACAACTACTAGCATCTGTCAGGAATGGGGAATTGGGATGATGGATGGAGACATCCTGTGTCCAAGCCTGCCCCCTTGCTATCTGGTGTGCTCAGAAGACCAGCTTTTTACAGCCCATGCTATTTTTGATGGGGGGCTAGATTTGCTATCATCATGGTGACAATGTGGATCCAGAGGAGCGGGACTGCCCCACAACCTTCTCAGACATACAAGATGTTCAGATTCTATGCCGCTTTGTCAGAGACCACTTACCTGGCCTGCGGCCTGAGCCGGACATCATGGAGCGTTGCATGTACACGGTAAATCGGTTGTTTCAATCTGGAGAGAGACAGACAAACCTGTGCTGGCCAGGACTGGCTCCATCTGACTTCTGACATGGTATATGACTTTAAACTAGCCAGCTAATTCCTGTGGATTGGTTCACCTCTATGAGAAAGGGGAAGGATTATTCATATTCCTTTTCATTAGGCAACCAGGCTTTTGCCTGGCAGTCCTTTCCTATATTTCCCAGAAGAGCTCTAAAAGAGTTTTTGGCAAGATGTGCCAGTTGAGCAGACCTTGGGGACAAAGAGAATAGGCAGATGCCACCAGGGCTTGAGGCATCTTGGCTAAAGTTAGTTTACAAAAATGAGTGCCTGCTGTGTCCGTGGCATGGTAGGAGATAGACAGTGGGTAAATGAAAATGGCATGCCCAGAGGGGAGAGTGACACTCAGCATGCCTTAGCCCCATTCTGCTCTTTCTGGAAAGAAACCCAGCCCAGTTTCTTCCTGTCAGAGCCTATAGTTCCTCCTCTCCCTTTCCTCAGAGAACACACGTGACTCTCTTTCTAGAACACTCCTGATGAGCACTTTATTCTTGATCGCCACCCGCAGTATGACAACATTGTCATTGGTGCTGGATTTTCTGGTGAGCTTGAGGAGGGGGAGGTGGGGTGCCTTCAAGCTGATCTACTACAGTGCCTGGCAGAATGGCACCTTGCACACTCTTAGCTGCCTGGACAGATGCTAAGGCCTGGACATTAGGTATATATGGAGGGTGAATAGTCAAAGAAGGGGAGGCAATTTCTTTGGGCTGAGACCCAGAGGAGAGGAGAGGCAGCCCTGCCTGGGTGAGGAGGGAGCTTCTCCAGAGCCCCGCCTCTGGGCTCCAGGATGGGTGACAGCCTCTTCTTCTCTCAGGGCATGGATTCAAGCTGGCCCCTGTTGTGGGGAAGATCCTCTACGAATTAAGCATGAAATTAGCACCATCCTATGACTTGGCACCATTTCGAATAAGCCGCTTCTTTGCCCTGGGCAAAGCCCACCTTTGACCCTTGGCCGGCAGCCTTCCTCCTGGATAGGAGAACCTCCTACGGAAGACTTCTTGGAGGATGAGGTGGCTTTGACATTACTCTTTTTTTTTTTCTTGCTTCTCTTGAGTCTCCTGCAAACATCAAACAATTGAGGGCCTATCTCTCTCCCTATCGCTTCCCAAGTTCAACTCCCTTCTCATCCCACAGAAGGTTGACCAGAGAGATTCTACCACCACAGACTAGCAAAGAACTTTGAGATGCATATCTTTGTAGGGAGAGGTCCTAGGAATGGCTCAGTAGGTCAGAGGACTGGTTAAAATTCTCTTTGCTTGGGGCTAGAGAGATAGCTTAGCCATTAAGAGTGCTGGCTGCTCTCGCAGAGGACCCAGGTTTGGTTCTCAGCACCCACATGGCAACTCTGTAACTCCAGTTCCAAGGGATCTGATACCCTTTTCTGGCCTCTGCAGGCACCAGGCAAGCACATGGTGCACATACATGCAGCAAGCATTCATATACATAAAAATAAATAAATCTTAAAATTCTCTTTACTGGGACATTAGATGAACTTGGAATTATTTTGATTAAATCTGCCCAGGGAAGGGGAAAAAGACTATCTTTCATAAACTACTAATGTCTTTGGTGTTTCTTTGCCTAAAACTTGAGCCATCCTCTACCATCAACTCCCCATACAATCTCACCTTAGTTGCACAATAAATGTTGGAAAAAGATTACTGGAAAAAATAAATAAATAACTGCATTGCATAAATGTTTGCAGAGGGATTTCTTTTCCATGTAACCCTATTTCTTCTAGGCTCTAATTATCTAAATTAGCACCAGAGTCAATTACTCCCAGGGCTCCACAGCGCCTCCATGCACTGCAACCCTTTCCTTTGCTTCTTTGTCTCTTCATCTTCTCTCTGGATCTGTAAAGATGCTCAGCTCCCCACTCTCTCATTAAGGTATATTGTCAGGTCCTTATGAAGATGGAACTATTATAGCAGAAAGAGAGAGACACACTCGCTTAGAAACCCTGTTCAATGTTTGAATGTTAAATGTGCCATTTTATTATCATTAGGATTGCTCCCACTTAATGAAACAGCATTAGCACCGCGTCGGCTGGCCTCCTTGCACTAATTGCTTTGGAAGAGAACGGGCTCGGAACTACCCCAGGGTGGGTGGAGGGGTGAGGGTGTGGACAGGGACTCAGGCAAGGCTGATGTGCATAGATGGTACCCAGAAATGGGGGACCTTCAGAGTGGCTCAGCTCTATCCTAGAGAACAGGCTCCTACAGGTTCTGAGGAGAGAGAAGCTGGAACAGGGTAGGGTGGCTATGACAGAAGTGACTGAGTGGAGAAAATGGGCAATGGGACTGAGAATCAAAACATTCACATGAAATACAGCACAGAGGAAATTACCTTTCGCTCTCCTCAGTCCTAAAAGACCTAGACGTATGTATTAACTATGATTTCTTCAGTGAGTTCCAAGAGCCAGCCAATCCTGTCAACCCCATGTCAAGTCTGCTTTTCAGGCAATCTTCATAAGGACCTGACAATATACTCAGTCTCTATAAAATGGGAATTATAATACTAAATATACATGGGTGTATGAGGCTTAAATACAATCACACACTCATTTAATACATAAATATTAAGTTAGCTTCTACTAAGTGCCAGGCACTGTGCCAAGCACCGTAGATACTTCAATGTGCTGGTTAGTTTTAAATGTCAACTTGAGACAACTTAGAATTACCCGGGAAGACAGTCTCATTGAAGAATTGCCTAGATCAGGTTGACCTGTGGGCATGTCTATGAGAGATTGTCTTGATTGTTAAATGACAGGGGATGACCCAACCCACCATGGGTAGCACCATTCCCTAGTCAGTGGCCGTGGACTATGTAAGAGTAGGGAAGGCCAGTGGGGTATTGAGCAAGCAAGCCAGGATCCATGTGTTTATTTTCTCTCTACTCTTAGCTGTGGATGCAAAGCTTTAAGTCTGTCTCTGCCTTGTTTTCCTTCAACAACGGACTGAAACCTGGAATTGTAAGCCAAATAAATCCCTTTCTTCCATAAGTTGCTTTTTTCTAAGAGTATTTGTTGCAACAATAGAAAATAAATCCAGGATCATCAGTGAAAAAAAAGACCTATAGAAATCCTTGTTCTAGAAGTAGAGTGGGTTCTCAAAAAATTAAAGAGAACTACTATATGAGCTGGCAATTCCACTTCCAGTATATACCCAAAAGATTTGACAGCAAAGTCTCAAAAAGCTATTTATACACCTACATTTATAGCAGCATCATTCACAATGGCCATGAGGCTGAAACAACCCAGATATCCACTGACACATGAGTGAATAAACAAAACGTAGCCTGTACAAACTGTGGAATAGTATTCTGTCTTGAAAAGAAAGGAACTCCAGGGGCTGGAGAGATAGCTCAGCGGTTAAGAGCACTGATTGCTCTTGCAGAGGACCCAGGTTCAATTCCCAGCACCCACATGGCAGCTATGAACAGTCCTTAACTCCAGTTCCAGGGGAATCCGAAGCCCTCTTCTGACCTCCGCGGCATTGCACGACATGGGTGCACTCACATACATGCAGGCAATATACTCATATACATAAAATAAAAATAATAAAATATTAAAAAAAAAGAAAGAAAGAAAAGGAACTCCTGACATATGCTGTGTTATGGTTGAAACATGGACATTATGTTAAATGAAATAAGAGACATAAAAGGAAGTGGTGAAATTCACAGAGGTAGACAGAGAATGTGGCTGCCAGGAGCCAGGAGGAAACTGCGGTTTGCTTATGGGTACATAAGTTTTGCAAGATGGACAGAGTTCTGGAAGTTGGTAACACAGCAATGTGAATGTATTTAATGCCACTGAACCACACACCTAAAAATGGCTAAGAGGACCAATGTTATGTGTAGTCTACCACAATTTTTAAACATTCATGTTCTTATAGAACTTATGGTAGTGAGAAGACATGTAAGCAATGCACAAGTGTAAATTATAACATGTGAGAAGAAGGTGGTAAGTGCTTCAGGGAAAATCAGAGTGGGGAGGGACAGGAACACTGGGGGAAGCTGATCTTTTACAAGGGTGGTCTTCAGAGGCAGCACTGAAGAGGGGATCTTCAAGAGTGAGCCATGCAAGTATCTGTGTGTATATTTAAAAAATGGTATGAAGGACCTGGGGGGAATGTGGCTCAGTTGATAGAGTGCTTGCCTAGCATGCACGAAGCCCTGGGTTCAGATCCCCAGCATACCATAAACCAGGCATGGTGGTGCGTACCTGTAACCCCAACACTCAGAAAGTAGAGGCAGGAGGATCAGAAGTTCAAGGTCATGCTCAGCTACATAACAGGTTTGAGGACAGTTTGACTCTGTTTTAGGAAAGGTATAAGCCACAGAGCAGGAAGCTGTGTTGTATTGAGGTGGTCTGATAAAGAGATACTGGAAAGGACCTGCATATGAGCCCAGCAGCTGACAAAGTTAGGGAAAAGGGCTGTGACGGACATCCCTGCTGGCTCCATGGCTGTCTGCCTGCTGTTCCTCTGCGCCATCCTCCTCCCCCAGCCAGCTGCAGTGCCCCTTCCAAAATATCCAGACTTATTCAGCTTGTTGACAGCCAAAAGAGGGGACCAATGTCTTGCAGGGGCTGAGAAAGGACAAGTGGGGGAGGCTACCAAATCCTGCCAGAGCTGGCTAAGGCCTTTACAAGAGAGGAGAGGAGGGGAACCAGAGTGAGGCCAAGTGACAAGCAAAGGACCTGGCTAGCAAAGAATGGAGTGAGATAGAGATTCAGGTAAGGAGAGACTGGTAACCTTCCTCAGAGAGGAAGGCAGGACCTCTGGGGGTCCACACCCACCCAGAAACCAGAGGCCCAGAATGCCCAGGTGGGAGGAAGTGACATTTCTTAGTTGCAGTTGGGTGGGATCTTAGAGAGGAGAGGAGACATAGTGAGTACAGGTGCACAGGAAAGCAAACGTCATTGTAGAAGGGGGTTGGAGGACAACACGGGGCCCTCCGAGATAGTGAAGGATTTGCCAACAGACCACACAAAATTATTTCACTGCCTCCTTCTGCCTGAGCATGGCCAGGCATCCCCTCTGGGTAGCCCCTACAGATCTTCAAGATGGAAGAAAATCAAAAGGAATTGGGAGGCAGTAAGAGACTCAGGAAGGGTGGCTGGGGTCTGCAGAGGCTGCAAGGGAGAGATAAGGGCAATAAAGAGAAGGAGGCCAGAGTGGTTGCCAACCAGACTAAGGAAAACAGAGGCAGGCTAAAAATAGACTGGGGCTGGGGAGGGAGGAGGGCCAGACCAGAAAAGGAGGGAGAGCTGAGGCAATCGATGCAGGCCCTACTTTGACCCAATTCTTCATCTCTCAGCCTCACCAAATTGACAAACGAGGCCCTGGTGGGGAAAGAGGGAAAGACTGGTGCAGAGGGAGGAGAGGCAGAGGAAAGTAATTCAGGCTCCAGGAGCTCTGTGTTGAGAAGGCACGGTGGGAAAGAGGAGCTGTGTAGTGTGGTACAGCCCTGTGTAGTACTGGTTCAGCCCTCAGCAGAGTTTGGTATGCCCAAGCAGGCTTAAAAGCTTAAGGAATACGAGTCTAACCTGTCTAGATATGGCTCAACTGTCTAGAAAGCCAAAACAAGGCAGCCAGGAAGAGCTAGCCTGGAGACACAGGCTGGAAAATGACACCAGATCTGCATACATTTCATTTCTCAGAGAGAGCAATGAAAGGGAATTTGGTTATTTCAGTGGTGGGCATTCTATGCAGCAAGAGGGATTTAGATTAGACTACAGGAAGTCCAGTCCATTAGGCAGCTCTGTGAGCTACTGAGATAGGGACAGGGGCATCGAGAGTGCACTCTTTCCTTGGATTATCTTAGGTTAAAAAGCCCTTATCCTTGGGGCTGGAGAAGCGCACCTGAAGGCCAGGGCCTGCTGGTAACTCTTTGGAAGACTGCTGGAGAGGGTGACCTAGGGGACCTTTATTACCCCTCAGACAAGGTTGAAAATGGGTTGCTGGGTGTGGGAGGAGGGATGCACAAGGTGAGCTGGATTTGTTGACTGGGGGGAGGCAGATGGCAGGGACCAGGGGCAGGATTCTAACTTGCAGGACCCAGTGACATTTGCATAACTTTGAATAATGAATAAGCCCAGCTCTGGGGTTCCTACTCAGCACCGCTCATCTGCATCTTTATTAAGCTTTATAAATGATTCAGCTCCTTACCCCTTCCCCCAGCCCTGCCCAGCCTGCCCCAAGCATCAGGGTAGTTGATTGCTCATTATTTTAGACTAGATTTGTTTCACCAACATCCAGTGAGGCATGAAGTGGGGGACACAGGAGGGAGGAATGGCTCCAAAAGGCAAGAAGATTGGAGGGGTAGGAACAGGAGTATGGAGGCAACCATGGGAAGGCCTACTCTGATTAGAGGCAGGCAGCTAGGGAATTGGACATACTTTAACCTGAGACCAGCATCTTAAGAGAGAGCCATTTCTTAGGTTCCCTGAAAGGTGCTGGGTTCAAATTCCACTCAAACCCCAGTTTCCCTTACGTCTGCTGCCAAGCCCCAGCAGGCCCTCCTCAGATCCAGGTCTGCACACAGCCGCCCGAACAGCCAAATGAGTACAGCCCCCGGGGAAGTTCTCATTTTTTCCTGAGGCAGGAATTTTGCTATTTTCACAGAGAAGAAAAAAAAAAATCTGCTATGCTTGCAGGGTGGAGAACAAGCACCCAGCATATTAGGGGAGAAAGAGACAGGAACAGGCATACGAGGTGTGTGAATTTGGAGGGAAGAGGAATGCTCTGGCCAGCATACCCCAAAAGAGGTGCCTGGAGTTGTGCACAGTCCAAGCAGAGTTGTTTGTGCCGGCAGCTCTGGGAGCCACCTGGTCTGCTGGCTGGAGCCTGGGAGAAGTATTTAGCAGCCTGGACAGGAGGATCTGGCAGGAACCTCCTGATGCAGAGAAAGGGGGGGCGGTATTCTCAACCCTGGCTGCACATTAAAGTCACTTGGGGAGCTTTAAAAAAATATGATGCTTGGGCCACACCCAAGGCCAGTAAAATCAAAATCCCAGAAGAAATACTGTGAACACAGTATTTTATTTTTGGAAGTCTTCAATATTACTTGGATCTTGGTTTGAACAAACCAACTTTTTTATTTTTTCAGTATTGGGGATTGAACTCAGGGTCACGCATGTGCTCGGTTATCAGGTGCTCCGCAGTTGAGCTAGATTCCCACCCCTTATTATTTTTGTCACTGGGTGTGTGTGTGCATGCACATACACATGGGTGAATGTGGGTGAATGTATACTAGGATTCAGTATAGAGGCCCAAGGACCTTGGGTCTTCCACTTTGTATGAGACAGGGTCTCTCTTGTTCACCACTGTGTAGTAAAGGTAGTGGCTTTCTTACATTCTCCTGTCTCTACTTCCCATCTCACTGTCGGAGATCTTACATGGGTTCTGGGAATTTGAACTCAGGTCCTCAGGCTTGAGCAGCAAGCACCTGACCCACTGAGCCATCTCCCCACCCCCATCCTTTTTTTATTTAAAAAAAATTTTATTATTTTTATTTTATGTGTATGAGTGTATTGCCTGCATGTACGTGAGTGCACCTGTGTCGTGCAATGCCTCGGAGGTCAGAAGAGGGCTTTGGTTTCCCCTGGAACTGAAGTTAAGGACAGTTCCTAGCTGCCATGTAGGTGCTGGGAATCAAAACCAGGTCTTCTGTAAGAGCAGTCAGTGCTAACCCCTGAGCCATCTCTCTAGCCCTCCCTTTTTTATTTTTACTTTTGGAACAGACTCACTAAATTGCTTAGGTTGGCCTTGAACTTGTGATCTTCCTGCCTCAGCTTCCTGAATACTTGGGATTACAGGCCTGTGCCACCTGTTTTATTTAAAAATCATGTATATATAAAATTAAAACTATGTTGCCAGGCGTGGTGGCACACGCCTTTAATCCCAGCCTCGGGTGGATCTCTGTGAGTTCAAGGCCAGCCTGGTCTACATAGTGAGTTCCAGGACAGCTGGGGCTACAGGGAGACCCTGTCTCAAAAAG